ACTTTTGTTCTGTGAAATAATTGGTTAGGATTCGGTACATAAAGCAGTATATTCCGCTCTTTAAAAATGTGTATACTTATCATTGTAAAATGAGTGCACATAAGTAACAAAAAACAGAAGGTGGGTGCAGTCCCCCCCCCCCCCNTGACAGAGAGAAGAGCAATATTTCTTAACAGGTGCAGGATCTATTGCTATGTGACACAGTCTCCGCATCCAAGGTTTTCAATCTTAAGAGCCACTCCACTTGAAAACATGGAGGATATTGAGCCAATTTATCTTCGAATACAAAAACAAGGACAACCAAAGAGATGGTGATGAATAAAAAGAAATCAAAGCGTTTGTACATAAAAAAGAAGTTCCAGGAAACAACGATTCGAACGAGTTTTTAGTGGCATATAACACAGCTACGGGCAATGGATTTGTGAAACGGTGTATGGTACAGCTGAAGCAGTATTCCCAGAAAACGAATAATCTGCAAATAAAATTTTATCTAGAAGAACTGTTCACCGAGTGGAACAAATGAATGGGGATTTGCTAATACAGATGAATGATACATTCGTGTACTTCTATCTACGTAGCATATGATGGTGTAACCGACACAGTTCAACTACTTATGTTTACATGAGGTGTGAATGAAAAATTTGCCATGAAAGGCATAACAACTGGAGGACTGTAAACAACTCTTGAACGGCGTATGATATTGCAGAACACGTCAGTCAGTCAGTCAGTCAGTCAGTGTGACCACAGACGGATCGCCGAATTTGATATGTAAAAATCTAGGCATTTTGAAAAGGATGAAGGATACCGCCTTTTCGTTACATTCTTCACCATGAGGTACTCTTTTAAACTATAGTATTTTAAATACTGCGGCATGTTGACCCGCTGCTAGGCAAAGACAGCGAAATGAGCATCTATACAACAGCCATTTCTAAGTAACGGCTCCTCCAACAGATAAGAACGCAAGAGTTCCACGATAACAAGTGCATTGCAACAGAGGAACTCAGTTGAGTGAGTTGTCCTGTGTGGAGGCGGGCGGGGTCAAATATCTGCACCGTAGCCCTGCGAGTCGTAGGAGAAGACGAAAAGTGAAGTCTGGAATCTGATTTATTTTATTTGTTTCATTCTGGTCCGTCACACTAACAAACAACACAGCAAGCCACGAACAATCCCTGGACGACATCAAGAACCTCCTCATCAACACAGACAGGCAGCACAAAATCTGCCCCGTACAAGGACGATAGGAGTACGGACACGAACCTACGTGGTTTTAAAAATTTTAACTATTGACAATCAAGGTTTTTTAAATAACATCTAGAAACTTTTAAAAACTTTACAATACCAGGAAGCTGCTGTGATTGTGAAATGTTCGACTTTATGCGTACTGTGCATTATAGGATATAAGTTTATGTATTTTTTAATCAAAACACCTATTGTGATGGTAGTTTCCAGTTTGTAATGATGTTCCCTCTGAAGATGGTCCGTAAGGACCGAAACATGTAAGGGAGATAAGTTTTCACGTAGCAAGGGCTTATATGTCACACTGGACGGAGTGGTTTGTATTTATATCTGGAATCTGAGACAGTAAAATATGGTCACGAGCCTCAGTGGACTCGGACCCGAAGATGACTGCGCTGGCGAGGACCACCAACAATTGTAAACGACAGACCCGTCCTCTCGTGAGAGAGAGCGCCCCACATCAACAAACATGCAACTGTCTGACAGCAATATAAATCTGGTCATAAGCTCCAGATGGGTGCTTTATTCCAAGAGAGATTGGCCGATTGGCCGTCGGTCGTAACGTAAGACTCAAACTCAGTCAGCTGGGTGAGAGTTGAATGGAGTTGGTTGCTGATTGGGTGAGTTAGTTACAGAACCGCTGGGGTTGAGTCGCTGTGAGCTGTTGCTCTTAAAAGCTGGTAGCTGTGGCCGGGGAACGTCCGCCGTTGGCAACCGTTACAAAATGACGGCTAGTGAAGACCTGACTGTGGGACTAGTGAGTGTGTGTGTGTGAGTGTGTGTGTACGATAGTGATCTGTCAAGTGTAGCCACAAGTTGTGGGTTAAATAGTTCAGTAAATACGATTACCAATCTAAACCCGGTCTATAAGCATTCATACACATGGGAATACGAAATATGTGACTAGAACAGATGTGAAATCTGTAAATTTAGTTAGAGCAAGAGATTTAAAACACAGATATCCCTACTTCAAGATCTGTGTGCCGACTACCCTCTTGTACCTTATAATTCCGATGTTCGATGACTGAGCTCGAGCTCAAGCTCAATGAAACCGTGGGACTTACAAGAAGAAATATTGCACGAAAAATAAAGTTATCGTGTTTCCATAACTGAGAGACAAGGACTGGAAAACTAGCCTGGCATTCTTGACTGATGTTCTGGAACATCTAAACAAATTAAAGGCGACTTTTCAAGGAAAGGGCCTCTTTACACACAAGTTACATACAGCCGTACAAGCGTTCAAAGCAAAATTGATTTCTGTTATCAAAAGAAGTAAAAGAAAATAAATCTACACAATTTTCTACTCTGTAACGAACATATGAAAGTCTACTGCAGCCCATAAGTACACAAGCATTCTTAGCAAACTACACTAAGAATTATGTAGACGATTTGAAAATTTCAGGAAAATGGAAAACGAAATTCAAATGCTGAAGTCTCCTCCTTCTTTGATGTTAAAATGTCTTCAGATAATAATCAGAAAGAAATGATTGACCTGCAGAGTGATAAAGGATTAAAATGAAAGTTCAATTCTGTGAAGTGTGTCATTTTCGGAAGGAGTAGAGCGTTGTGTCATTCCAAAGGACCTTCGATGGAAGATGCTATCACTGTTTGCGTACAGACAGAACTGTGAAGAAACACTGTCTTTACTGGAGCTGAACAAATCAGATTTAAGAGTACGAATGACAGATCAACTTAGTCTGCAACTTCACGCACTGCAGCATCAAAATCAACGGTTATGAACGAGCCTAAAACGGATAACTGTCCAAGTTATATAACTCATTGTCGGTATATTAGCTTCGGTTAGTACTGACAATGGATCATATAAATTCGACAGTTATCCGTTTTAGGACCGTTGATCGATCGTTACGCCCGTCCGCCCGTGGATATTCATTGAAAATTTTGGAAAAACTTCCAAGCCATCTAAACTGTGAATTACATTGGAAAGGTTTAGCATCCTTTTTACATTAACACCTGCGGTAGTTTCTGCGCGCATCTCTTAGAGTAATTCGCTAAATATTTATCGAAAGAAAAAAGTTACGAACAATATTTATAAACAAAAATAAAACACATTTTACGTTCGATAAATTTCCGTCCATATTGTTATTTTCGAGTGAGTAAATCAGTGGTCTCCTGGACACACAGAAAGATTGCCGAAGTATCTTATATCCTATAATTACTAAACTGAGCTCTCCTTCCAGCTCATTTAAGGGGTTTATATTTTTATATACATGACCGCATATTTAATTAAATGTAGCTGGTTTCGCTAAGTCTTTTTCATCAAAACATGCAAATCTATAAGAAAACAAAAAGTTATATTGTTTCAGGAAAAGAACAAACAAAAGAAAGTCTTCAGGTAAAACCGCGTTGAAATGAGACTTGTTTCATTCAATTACAACAAGACTTCCAGCATATATTAAATAATTTATTTTATCATTTCCCTCCACTGTCAATTATTATTTCACAGTCCACATATGGTCTAAAACAAGGAGATGCTTTATTGCCACTCCTTTTCAACTTTGTTTTAGAATATGCCATTAGGAAGGTCCAGGGAAAACAGGTGGGATTGAAATTAAATGAGACATATCAGCTGTAGGCCTATCCTGATGATGCGAATCTACTGGGAGGTAACAGAGATACCATAGAGAGAAACACACAAACTTTGATTGACACCTGTAAGGAGGTTGGTCTAGAAATAAACACAGAAAACTAAGTATATGTTGCTGTCTCGTCACCAAAATGCAGGGCAAAATCATGACATAAAGATAGGAAACAGATGTTTTGAAAATGTGGCACAGTTCAGATATTTGGGAACAACGATAACAGATCGAAACCTGATTCAGGAGGAAATTAAGAGGCGATTGAACTCGGGTAATGTTTGCTATCATTCAGTCCAGAACCTTCTGTCTTCTCATCTGCAGTCTAAACATAAAAATCTGAATATATGAAATTATAATTTTGCCTGTGGGTCTATATGGGTTTGAAACTTGGTCATTAACATTAAGGGACGAACACTGACTGAAGGATTGGCCGCGCCATAGCTGAAGCGGTTAGTCGCTGTCGTCCCACCGCGGCGGCCCGGGTTCGATCCCGGGCCTGGTCAAGTGGAATTTGTGGTGGACAAAGCGGCGCTGGGGCAGGTTTCCTCCGAGTACTTCGGTTTCCCCTTCCAATCTTCATTCCACCAATTGCTCCACAATCACCCTCACCTATCATCTGGGGCTGGTACAGTAGGCCAGAAGTGGCCGCAGTACAAGGGACTTTGTCCCACCCCACTAGAAAAAAAAAAACATAGACTGAGGGTGTTTGAGAACAGGATGTTGAGGAGAATACTTGGACTGAAGCGAGATGAAGTGACAGGAGGTTGAAGAAAACTGCATAATGAGGAGTATAATTAGAATGATCAAGTCAAGGAGGATGCGGTAGGCAGGGCATGTAGCACGAATGCGGGAGAGGAGAAATGCATATAGGATTTAACTGGCGTAGTCATAAGAACGCCAAGCATTTTCTCAAATAACAAATTAATAAACAATATGTTAAATAGCCAGCACAAATCAATGCGGTCGAATTATAAATATACAACATAAATACAGTGATAAAGATAATTACACTAACTGCTCAAAAACGTCTGACGTAGGAATGATTAACTATGCCGAATTTAATTTACAATTTTGGAGAAAATCGGGAAGATAAACCACGGTACGCATGTCGCAAGCAGTTCTACAACAGAATCAATGACAATGTTTCTTTCAAAAATGTGTACTCACCCAAAACATCACGTTAAATCCAAATATAACATACTTCAAGCAACAGCTAACTTCACTAGTGTCTCTTCTGTACTTCCGAACAGGCATTTTGGCCACATTTAGATCACGATTCATATATAAACGAACATAATAATAATAATAATCAGCTGTTCACGAACTCACTCACGTTACATGCCATTGTCACTCCACACACTTCCCTCTTGTACACACAAGCCACGGATCAAACCACCACAACCCACACTTCTGATTAGTTCCACCTTTCTGAGCTATCGACGGTAGCGCTGACTAGTTTTACCCATAATGCACTTGCGCATACCAAGCATAGACAATAAAAATGAATTTCCCTATATATTCGGAAATATTCACCATAAAACAAAAGCGAAAAATAAAACTATATAATATTAGAGCTATATATGTATTAACATGAATTAAAGGAGTAAAATATAATCTACTGAAGAACGTGCTGGTGTGCTGTAAAGGTGTATTTGAAAATGATCAGATCTATTGGCAACCCTGCAGACCGTCTGCCATGACGGTGACGAAAAGAATTTTGTTAATCAAAACAAAGCTAATGTTCTAAATGTACTATATATTATTATGTCACTGGTTTCAACGGCCAGTTATTCTTTCTCAGATACTCAATTTTTTGTAATATACCCAGAGAACTCAGTTACATCAATGTTACTATGATTTATAAGTATAATACTTCCTCAGTAGTTTAATATACGTCACAGCTTTTCAATATATGAATAACGTTGTTTGGATATGAGGGAGGGGGAAAGGGTTGGAAGTTATGTGATGGGGGGGGAGAGGAAGTTGAAATCATTGCGCAAATTTCTGACATAGGTTGGAACAAATTTGTAATTCATCCGCAGGAGGAAAATTTAGTTTCACAGAATCAGGACCCGTTATTATGGATTCCGGAGCGACAGCAAAAGTTCCCGTCTCACCATGGGGAAAGCTGCAGCAACCTTCAGAACCAGTTTGTTTGGCAGATATTATGTCCGAAGAACTGGCCAAAGACTTGCAAATCAGAGAAGAAGAACGTTATAATAAAGACTTGGTGGTGGAACCTGAACCGTTACCGATCATAGAATGTGCTCCAGGTTGTGATAGTGACTACATGATTGCACAAATGTTACAAGTTCAGTTTGATAAAGAATATGACGACCTGCTCAAGAAGACAGAAGATAAATATAATGGTTCATCGAAAGTTTGTATATCATATTCAAATTATCGTGTCATCCCAGAAAATCTAGTATATGACAGTGATTCAGAAGATGACATAGATGATAAACATCGAGACTGGGACAGTTTTGTGAGTACTGAGAAGGCTTTCAAATCCATGCCTAAATGTGGATATAGGAAACAAGGTGAAGAAATGGTAACCAAACATGATATGACTATGTCCAGTCGCCGAAATGCATGTCGGGTAATGGAATTCCCTCCAGAGTTTCAGACAGGAGATGGTGGTGGGTTTGATATGCAGCTATCCAATAAAGTGTTCAACAGCTTGAAAGTCTACTCACGCAGTGAAGAATCCCGAAGGCATCGTTTACATGACAAGACTGAACAAGCAACAGCAGAAATGTGTGTTGATACCCATACCCGTTTGCTGCTGTATCGCCTCGTGAATCAAGCGGTATTGGACAGAGTGAATGGTGTTGTCAGCACTGGCAAGGAGGCTGTCATTTTTCATGCTGATGGTGGAGCTGGAAGAAACTGTGTTATACCCAAGGAATGTGCCGTCAAAATTTTTAAGACAACCTTGAATGAATTCAAAACACGAGATAAATACATAGAGGATGATTACAGATTCAAAGAGAGGTTTTCAAAACAAAATCCCAGAAAAATTATACATATGTGGGCAGAAAAAGAGATGCATAATTTGATGAGAATGCAGAAACATGGTATTCTTTGTCCTGAGGTTGTAGTTTTAAAGAAACATATCCTGGTTATGTCCTTTATTGGAGAAAGTCATAAACCTGCTGAAAAGCTGAAAGAAGCCTTTCTAAAACCTACAGAACTGACAGAAGCTTATTGTCAGACTACTGCAGGAATGAAAAGTCTGTATGAAAATGCTCAGTTGGTGCATGCAGATTTATCAGAGTACAATATTTTATGGCACAATAAGCAGTGCTGGTTCATTGACGTCAGTCAGGCCGTAGATCGCAACCATCCAAAAGCACTCGAGTTCTTGTACAGAGATTGTGTTAATATTTCGACATTTTTTAAGAAGAAAGGTGCAGATGACACAAGGTCTGCAGAGGAACTCTTCACACATATCACAGGTTTCCGTGTGGCTGAAGGTGGTGTTGGTGTACTTGAACAGGTTAAAGATTTTGAGCGAAATGAAGAATTACTAACTCATGAACAGGCAGAGAAATATTATCCATTTGAACATTGCTGGGAACAGTCAAAGAATGAGTAACAATACCAAACTGTTTCATATTCAAAATCTGAAATGCCATGTGTCTTCTGTATACTATAAACTGTCCAGAATATAACAAGTTTTAGGACTTTTGTCTTGAATATTTAATTCTGATTACTGGTAAAATGGTGGTTCTCATGTGTAGTTCAGTGTTGACCTAAGAGAGGCATTTGTTCAAGATTATTCAGGTTTTAGTTTATTATCAAGGCATAATGGGAACATAGTCCCTATGTTTATAAATTGGTGGCAGTTGTGATTGTGGACCTTGGCAGTGTCTCTTTCCTGCCAGGATAATAAAATGATTTGCCTTAAGGCTGTGTAGTGTAACACTATTAACACCACATATATATAACCTAATTTGGAAATAGTAATACAAGTATTTTTTTGTGTGGAAAAAATTGTCTAGGAATGCAGAGGTGAACCATCAAAGCTCAGTTAACAAGTTCCATCTTTAATTACTATATGAAAGAAGACCCATATGTTTCTTAGATTGCTTCAGCTTTCAGCAGCTGGTGTTAAATTTTGTGGATATTAATATGAAGGACTACTGTGTATCATAGATTAAAGGCAATGGTGGTGGTTACAGAATTTTATTTGCATATATTTTCTGCAGGGTGTAAAATTTGCCTGTTTGATAATGTATTTGTGCAAAATGATTGTAGTTAGGCTGGGGATTTAATAAAATGTGTTCATTTCCTGTGGCCATCTTTTATGTGAATGTAAGGTTTTATCCCAAGAGTTCTGCTTTGGCTAACATTTTCTTTCCTGTATAAATTCAAAATTATCCACTTAGAACTGAATTTATTTACATTTGAAGATCCTTTGCAGGACTATGCCAAGCGTACACTGCATGTCATAATACAAATGTTTGGTACTACAGTTCAGACGAGTTGCCAAGAATGTTGTATTAATTTCATAAATGTTTACGTGCCTAAAAATTGTCTGTCAAAATAAATTCTTTTACAGAGTACAGATCAGATAACAGAAAATATATTAATGGCATAAATGTGTATATTTTAACTTCAGTTATTAATGGTATACAGAAGATTATTAAATAACTCAAGTTCTTCAGCTTTTCAAGCTAAGCAGTTATCATGTCACAGCTTGTGAGTAGAGAGAGAAAGAGTGTGTCCATGCTATGTTACAACACTTTTTATTCTTGCATGTGGTGGAAGAATACTTTCTGTACTAATTAAACTTTACATATTTGATGCTATTTGTGTTTAGTTTTAGTTCTATTCATAAAATGTTTCTTTGTGTACATGAAATGTGACTTGATTTAATATTTCTTATGGGGTAACATGTCACTCTGCCACTTCTCAATATTGCAGTTATTTAATGTTAAGTGCTGACGGTACTGACTGCCTCTCTGTATATAACACAGTGACTGAGTTTGATGCATGTGTGAAGTGGACTGTTCTCTTACTGCAAGAAACAGTGAAATGTAAATTGAAGTGCATGTTTTGTGATTCAAGGTACTAAAGTTATTGAAAAGAACACTTCCAGTTTAAGTCTAGCTTTGGTCTAGTCACATATCAAAGAAAGAGAGGAGCATAGGGCTATTTAAAATAATGCTTTAAAAGTTACCTCATTTATACAGGAACTGCGCTCGTCTATTCTTCTGGGAAGCAAACAAATCGATCAGTTTTTGATTGATTGCCAGCATCTATGCAATCATGTCCTTATGAATGCTAAGTACAGCCAGTGCCTTCAGACGTTCTTGACCCATTGAGTTCCTTAGATATGTCTTATACGAGGGGCGTTCAAGTTCTAAGGTCTCCGATTTCTTTTCTCAGGACTGGGAGCAGATAGACACATGCGGTTTAGTTTAAAATACGTGTGCACTCTTTGTGAATGCATGACAGAGATGGCAGCACTGTACAGCACACAGAACTCTAGTGGTGGCAGCGAGAGCGAGCAGTGTTTTTGATACTTAAAATGGCGACGTTTTCGTTACAATAACAGCGAGTAATCATTCGTTTTCTCCACTTGCGTGGCGTGACACGCATTGAAATTCATTGCCAGTTGAGTGAGACATGTGGTGATGGTGTCATGAATGTGAAAAATGTACGTTTGTGGGTGTGACAGTTCAAAGAAGGCCGAATGTCATGTGACAACGAATCAAAACAATCTCGGCCTTGCACCAGCTGGTCTGACAACATGTTCAACCGAGTTGAGAAAGTTGTTTTGGAGGATCGCCGATTGAGTATGGAAAACATTGCCTCCAAAGTTGGCATTTCCGTGGGATCTGTGCACACAATCCTGCATGAAGACCTGCGAATGTCCTCCAGGTGGGTGCCACAAATGCTGGTGGACAACCACAAGGCTGTGCATGGCAATTTGCCAGGCGATGTTGACACGTGATGAAGGCATGAATGGGACTTTGTTTTCATCAGTTGTGACAATGGATGAGACATGGATGCCGTTTTTCAATCCTGAAACAAAGCGCGATTTTCCAGTGGTCAAAACAGACTTCTACAGAAGCGTTCATAGCGGCCATGGAATCAAGGTGTCGACGTTATGAAAAATGTGTATGGCTGCAGGGAGATTACGTTGAAAAGTGACAGAAGTTTCAAATTGTTTGAATGGTTATTGTGTGAGAAAAAAAATCGGAGACCTTAGAACTTGAACCCACAACGTATGTGCTGCAGCGGCCACTTCTTGTTTTATTGATGTTCAGGTATTGTTCTGTGTAGGCTCTCTGTGTGTGTGCCACTGCAACAGGGATAAAACAAGAAGTGGCCGCTGCAGCACTATAGACATAGGGCGAATACCCCGAGAAATTTTAATTTTTTAAATTTGGAAAAAGAAAAAGAACGGAAAATTTAAAGAATTTTACTTTGAATTGAAGATTTAAAAAAGTGCCAGTTTTAAAAATCAAATTGACATGTGTAGGTTAACAAAGAGCTTATACATACATACAATTGGAAAGACTGGTGTTTTTAAATTTTAAACCACGGGCAGTGTAGCAGCTATGTGAGAATATACACCAGATGATGGCCATTTAGGGCCGAAACATGTAGTGTAGAGGAAGGGAAGAAGAAAGAACTACAATTAAATTGTTGCGCTTAAGACGGAGTTTGTCTCATATATTGTGTGAGTGTAACAGGATGCTTAAATATAATATTGTAGACATATGATTTTGTGTAGACATCTCTTTCAATTTGACATTTGCATTTACTGTTGAAGAATTCATATTCATAAATTTAGATAGAGTGGTATATTTATGCTTTCACTAATTACTTGAAAATTATGTATCGTAAGAGGACTGGAAAACACATGTTTAAGGACAAGACTTTCCAAAGAGCCCACATCACATTCCATCAAAACTTCGGTGCATATTTCATAGGAGCAATCTTTGGTTACATCTACCACAACACAACACACACTAGTGTGAAATGGACAAAGGTAATTAATCTGGTAATATGGGACCTATGACCAGATATTAACGTGAAACAGCAATGTTAGTGTTAAAAAATGCAATGTTTGACCAGCTTGACTGTGCACACGTTAGTACAATATTGCAATGCATGAAGATTAAAATTTCAGATACTGGGAGTACAGAGAGTTTATCATTGAAGATTTGTTTTCCGGAATATAATGCTGTACAGTCCAGTGACAGTCAATAGACATTTTTGAGGAACATATCACCTCAGTTTTCAGGGTCAAAGAATAAGTCATTCTGGCTCCTTGCTTGTCTCATACTGCACCCTGAAGATGAAGGCTATATATTCCTCCAAAATGTGAGTTAACTTTAACCATGCTACACAGCAGTATATCCCAAAAGAGAGAAATCTTCATAGCCACAGTGATAACCTCAAATCCAAGAAACATTTTCAATATTTTGCATGCCTCAGACTTCCTATGTTTCTGCTTCTAACAGTATTGAAGTGTAAATATCAAACGTTTTTATTAAATACCAACAATAATAATTTGGTGTTTCCAGGTGGGGCACTGTGTGGTGTGGCTCATTGCCATCACAGCACTTTTATTCACCCATCTGATATCCACAGTCTTCTAGCAGCCCAGCTACAAACATAACAGCCTAATAGCAAGTCTGTATGCATGTAGTTATAACATAATCATAGCAGCAGCAATAGGCACCATACATACATACATATTTATTTCGTTCCAGAGATCTACAATTGGCAGTGCTGCCTTGAGATATAGAACATGTCAATAAAAAGTACATTTAAAATGATAAATTGTTAAAAATTAAATATCCAAGACATTTAAAAAGGCCACATATAATTGTAGTACATTAACAGTTGTAGAACACAAACAAGTAACACATCAAACCAAATCACAGACACGACACCGAAACAAACAA